CACAACTTCTCACCAGAAAAATATACGATAACAACAAGTAACTTTTCTGATAAGCCTTTAAGCCCATTTTCTTTATGTTCTGTCTGGTTTGAGTTGATTTTCTTTCCACATATGCATAAGTATAATTTTTTCAGTGTTTTAACACCTCTTTTCATTTATATTATGCAAAATCCGCTTATTTTACAGAGTTTTTGGGTGCACCTCATCAAGGTAAGTTTAAAATGAGTTTTTTGAATAAGTTGAATATTGCGCACCGCTTTTATACTCTCCTATGCGTTTAGCATTCAAGATCTGTTGATTTAATTACTGATGATGATGACAATTAATGATTTTATTACTTCAATAACTGTATGTACTAGCCTCTTAGCCATTCATAAACACATCATAGGTGGGGATCTTCCAATTTAGCCTCAGTGAAGGGAGGGATCTTCGCACCTAGGGGGGAGGGGTCTTCACACCTAGAGGGGGTATCTTCACACCTGGAGGGGGGATGTTCGCACCTCAGTCGAATACGTATATAATTAACTCAAGTCACGACTAGAGTTTTCCCGCCCCATATCAGTATCAGTATTGGTTGCTGGATCACATGGGTTGCATAAGGGCCATCCACCATCATTGCTACCTTTACATTGTTTCTCTGTGGTTCGTTCTCAGTTGTGGCTTCTTTTGACTTCACTTCCCTCCTTCAGCCACTCTTCCCTACTGATGAGCCTCGGGAGTGGCTTATGTTTCTTTATTTTCTGTCTAGGGGTAGAGGCGAAACAGATGCTTCTTTCCTTAACATTTTATTCCTAAAAGTTTGACATCTTGTTTTCTTGTATTCTCTTAAATATCGCAGATTATCTTGTTGCAGAAATGAGTTATAACAACGGAAGAAGGACATACGACCGCAGGAGTAAGAGGCTATGGAAGTTAGTCATTTTTTGAATTTAGCAGCTTCGATTACATCTTAGTCATAATTTTATTCTCTATAAGTTTTTTTTATAGTTGTACAGCTAAAGTAATGTATTACATTTCATGTTTAATTCACTCCTTCTTATTCTTGTCTTTGGTTGCTTCTGCTACTTATCACTTAAAACAATTCATTTTGTTTGCAGTGCTACTTAACGAGCAAATTGGAAGGCTCCGCGCAAATCAGGCGTTTCTAGAAGAACAACGTCAGAGAGAAGCTGAAGATGCGCCTACGGAATTTAGTTAGTTAGAAGCAAAGTTTTATTTTCACACGTTCTTGTTGTTTTATGTTTTGCTTTAAGTTTAATCTTACATTGTCAAAAGCATGTATTATGATGGTTGTAAATAAGTGTATGGCTATGTATGCAGACATAAAATATGTTTGTTTACGTGCATTTAAATGTTGCAATATAATATAGATTATGATGGAAACACACCAGATGAACTGAACGAGACACCAGAAGAATATTCTGGTGGATACGAAACAAGTGAAAGTGTAGAAAATGACGACGCTGACATGTGTATGTTTTCTGCTTTTTAGACCTCTCTTAAGAAATTTTACGCATTGCCTCTAGCTACCAATGACCGAATACTATACTATGCTGTTTACGTACAGCATTTC